GCATGAAAAAAAAAATACCGTCATGTACCGTGAAACCGGTATAATTTTGAAAAATACCGTGATATAAAATTTTGGTCATACCGCCCAGCACTAGGCATAGCATTAAATCTTGCATGTATGGCAGAAAAAGAATATCTTCCTCAGAATTTTTGTCTTGTTTTCCAATACAAATACCTAAACACTTTTAATTCAAGATACATTCACTTGTGATGCAAAATGAAGATATGAAGTATTCATTTTGCATCTCAAGAAATTGAACAAAATGAAGTGAATTTATGCTTAAACAACAACAAATATCTGTCAGTGGAGAGAAAGTTTTCTGAGCCCATTGGCATATGTTTGTTCTTTCTAATCATAAACTCGCTTCATTTTGATCAGTTTCTGAGAAAACAAGACTTCTTACCATTGTCATTTTGCTTCTCAAGTAAATGTATCTTAATTTAAGAATCTTTAGACATTTACACTGGAAAACAAGCACTTTTTGCAGCGTAATCAGAAGTGCAGTAAAAGTTATATCTATATTTTAGTGTTTGGGAGCAGAGCTATTCAAGCCTTTAGATAATTATTTATTTACTGTACTTATTTTTAATTAAAAAGTAGCAAAGATTTGTTGGAAGTTGTATTTTTAAACTTTGAAATGTTGCTAATACAACTCCCTAGACATTTACATTTAGATAACATATTGACATACTGTTTTCCTTTTGGTTTATTTTTCTTCACTTGGTTTTAAAATAAGTCTTAAATTTACATTAATAAAACCTGCAGAAACCACGTATACTGCGCAGCACACAAATGTTTCTAATAATATCATATTGGCCAAGGTATTAGCAATCATTTAAGCTTGAAATGTTACTTGTATTCCAGTGTAAGAAAGTTTATATCATGCACATTTGTTGTGCTTCCTACTCTTGAGTTTAGTTGATTCATTTCCTGCTCCTGTGTATTTAACAGCCCAATTAGAAAGATTCGAGATCCCACGGAAGATCCGGCTGAGCGTTGAGCCCTGGACCCCAGAGACCGGCCTGGTTACAGACGCTTTTAAACTCAAACGAAAGGAGCTAAAATCTCACTACCAGAATGACATTGAGAGGATGTATGGTGCCAAATAGAGCCAAACCACTGCTGATTCCAGACAAAACCACTGGACAGGCAAGAAAATGTACTTATCTCACTATAGCAACCTCCAATCAGGATGGAGATTTCCAATGGACGTTACAGACGTGAACATAATCGTTTGGAAATGTTTTCATACAGTGTGATGACCAACACTCACAACCAGCAGTACTTAAAGGTGCCAAGAGTGATGTTAGCCTTGCTAACTTCTGCCAGACTTAGCTGCTAAATTAAAGCTGTTAAATCCCTTCCAAATACACGCATGCTCTCCAAAACCCTGCAATGTCAACAAATCAGAAGTGAAATAACTGAAAAGCAAAAAGGTTCAGTGCTGTTACATGCATCCAAATAATCCAATAATAATGGCTCAATCAGACTGAAAACCTTCATGTAAACGCCTCGATTGAGCCAACTGAGCTTGATCCAAATGGCATTTCGATCAGATTGAAATAGGTGGTGTAGACCTGAAAAAAATCTGTTCAATCGGAAAAAATTCAGATTATCAGATTCAAAAATAGCTTGCACATTTGTGCAATGCAGAGAAGTGTTTTACGTCATACAAACGTGTTTATTCACGTGTCACATTTAATGAACTGGTCAGTTGAGGAGACATAATATGTGCTAACAGTATTTGCTAAAAAACTGTTCTAACATGTCAGTTTTTGTTTTAGAAATGAAGGCAAAAACTGCAATTATGCTTGCTGCACAAAAGATTAGTGCATGTAAACATACTTAATGTGATTTCTCAACACATTTTTATGCATGTTATTCCCCAAAAAAGCTTTATCATGGCTTTAAATCTCCAAAAGTCAGTTTCACAGTAGGTCAATCTCGCTCTGTGTCGCACTTAACTGTCCCAGTTCTTGTTGTTCCCCATACACAAACGATGCATTATGGGATGTTTTTCTAATCTTACATTCTCATTGAAACCTTCAGTTTCAAACAAATACAACTCGTAGATATCTTAAAGGGGTCATATGATGCGATTTCAAGTTTTCCTTTCTCTTTGGAGTGTTACAAGCTAATTGTGCATAGATAAGATCCCTGAAGTTGCAAAGACTAAAGTCTCAAAACCAAAGAGATATTCTTTATCAAAGTTAAGACTCTGCCACGCCCCCCTAAAACGGCTC